CCAAACCCCAAACCCCACCCCAGCCCTGAGCCCCCTCCCGCACCCAAACTCCCTCCCAGAGCCTGCACCCCCTGCCAAACCCCAAACCCCACCCCAGCCCTGAGCCCCCTCCCGCACCCAAACTCCCTCCCAGAGCCTGCACCCCCTGCCAAACCCCAAACCCCACTCCAGCCCTGAGCCCCCTCCCGCACCCAAACTCCCTCCCAGAACCTGCACCCCCTGCCAAACCCTAGCCCCCTGCCCCAGCCCTGAGCCCCCTCCTGCACCCAAACACCCTCCCAGAGCCTGCACCCCCTGCCAAACCCCAACCCTGAGCCCCCTCCTGCACCCAAACTCTCTCCCAGAGCCTGCACCCCTCACCCCCTCCTGCCCCCCAACCCCCTGCCCCAGCCCTGAGTCCCCTCCCATGCCCTAACTCCCTCCTGGAGCCCTCACCCCCCCCCCCGCACCCAACTCCCTGCCCCAGCCTGGTGAACGTGAGTGAGGGTGGGGGTAAGCAAGCAACAAAGGGGGGGTGGGGGATGAAGTGAGCGGGAGGCGGGGCCTTGGGGAAGGGGCGGGGCAGGGGGCTGGGCAAGGATGTACGGTTTTGTGCAATTAGAAAGTTGGCAACCCTAGGCGGTGGCAGGGTAAATCCAGGGCCAGGGCAGGTGGGGGTAGGGCCAGACAGGCCCAGAGAAGGTGGGTCAGGGCCGTACAAGCCCAGCGCAGGTGGGGGCCAGGCCATACAGGCCCAGGGCAGGTTGGGGCAGGGCCGTAGAGGGGGCAGGGAGGGGCCGGGCCGTACAGACCCAGGGCAGGTGGGGGCCGGGCCGTACAGGCCCAGGCAGGGTAAGCTGAGGTGGCTCTGTGCGACGTTGGCGCCATGCCCCCAGCCTGGCCGACCACACTGCCGGGCCTTTGCTTTCCCCACTGCGGGGTCTGTCAGGGCAGAGGTGTCTGTGTCAAGGAGAACGGGAACCAGCCAAGCCCCCCTTTGTCGGCCCTGTCTTAGCAAACGGGACGGAGACGCTGTTTTTCCCTCTGCCACTGAGCGTCACCCGAAGTAAAGGAAACCCTCTGGATCTAGATCCGCTCGGCTCAGCTTGTGGTGTTGAGTCACTGGCATTCCTGGAGACAGAAGACCCCAGCCCCAGCCCTGCCCCGTTATGGGCCCCAGCCGGGATAGTTGGCTGTTGATTTATGAGGAAAGATTAGGAGAGCTAAAAATACGTTGAGCTTTGCAGAGCGCTGAGCTGGGGGATTTGAGCCCTGAGCACAAGGAGCCAAAAGGCATAAACACCATGGGGGGGAGGGGGAAGGGCTGCTGAGCAGGGGAAACATCCCTGCGATGAGATCGTCTCCCCAAGGCCAGCATAGGACCTCACCCCCACAGGCCTGGGAGGACAGGTGTATGGGGGGACAGGAGGAGGAGTGGCTGCAGTGCTGTGTGGACTGGCTATTCGGGGCTGCACAGTGGTCCATGCAGGGCCGGTATGGCTGCAGTAAAGCAGAGCAGCCCCAGGGCTATTCTAACACACTAGGGGCAGTCCCGCCCCCAGCCCAGCCCAGAATTCGGGGCTTTGCCTGCTATCTCCCGAGCTGCATTCTGGCGCGTCACTGCCCTGTCCGACCCTGCACCTCCACTAGGAGGCACGCGCTGATACCGCTGCCGTCGCTCTCCAATGGCACCGAACCCCCGGGAGCTGCTCTCCGGCACCGTGTCTGCCTAGCTTGCTGGAACCGAACCCCCAGGGGGAGGGGCTCCCAACCCAGCCTCTGATCCAAACCAACTTGCAAAGAGTTCTCCTCGTCTGCACCACTGGCCTCTAATCACCAGGGTCCAGCCCCCACTGCCAGCACACAAACGGGGGTCAGGATCTCTGTCGCTTCCCTCTGGGAATGCAGGGCAGGAATCTCCCCCCAGCAGTGCCCACCACCGGCCTCCCGCACGGCTGGATCTGCCGTGGGAACAGGCCCGACATATCCTGCCTCCCGTGGGGCTGCGTGTGCTGTGAGAGCGTAGGGGGCTGAGCTAGGCTCGCCATGCAGGTGACAAGGGGAAGCCCTGGGCGAAGGTTTGGGCTCAGCAAGAGCTTTAGCCAGAAATTCGGTCAGTTTTTAAAACAGGCCCGGACGCCTGGGTTCTCCAGGGCTGGGCACTGAGTCCCGCTGGCCCACCCTTGCTTTCAGAGGGCCAAACCCTGCAGCTTTCTCCTCCCGCGGAGCGAAGGCTGGCAGACTCGGTCCTAGAGGCAATAGGGCCCAGGTCTCCAGGCCAGTGGTCCCTGCCCCCAGCCTGCCTCGCTGCCTTTCACCCGGGAGCCAGCAGCACTCATCGAAATGGAACAGCTGCCCCCCCCCCCCCCGTCCGAGTGTTCACCTGCGCTCCCTAGTGTCCTCCAGCGGGCACTGCATCTGCTCCGCCTTGCTCTATTCCGACCCACTGTCTTCCCCTGTGCTCCCTCGTGCCAGGGCCTCTCCGGGCGCAGGGCATGGACAGCTAAGCCCTGGGGGATTTGGGGAGAGGAGCTGGAGGAACTGGCTCCCCCCACGCCAGCTGGCAGGCCCAGAGGCCGTGTGCGGCCGCCTGGGGATAGCTCCCCTTGCTGCTGGGGAAGGATGGTGTCTCCGGCTGGGGTGCCTAGTTCCCTGCTCTCCCCTGGGCTGTACGGGGCAGCCCACATCCTGGGCAGCTGCTTCCTCTGACCCAGCCCCTCCACTCGCCCACTGCAATCCCCCTCCGTGCCCCTTGCCCCGTCTCCCACTGCCTTGCCCTTCCCCTTCCGCCCCTCCCCAATCCACCCCGTGCCCTCCTCTCTGCTGTGCCTAGCGTTCAACCCCGCCACTGCTTCCCCCCCGGCCACAGCTTCCCCTGCAGCCCCCTCAGCCCGTGGGCATTGGCAGGACTCTCCCACCAGGGCAGAGCCCTGTGGCTGTGCAGGGCACTGGGCATCCCCTAGAGAGGGCGTGTGGCTCGTTTGCCCTTCCCCATCCTGGGGCTCCACGGGGGGCTCCCCCAGCCCGAAGCGGGGCGCTCCCAGAGGGAGTTAATCCTGCTGCCACCGTGCCATGGAGGATTTATCTCCAGCCATTCGGCCCAGCCGGTGTTAATGGGTTTAGCCCGTTCTCAGACGGTCATTTAGGAGGATTTCACAGAACATCCAGTACAGGATTGAAATAAACCCCCCTGCGACGCGCCGGCTAAGCACATCCTTTCTCGGACGGCTTACCCCCCCCCCCACGGCCGGGCTTGGGGGGCACAGAAAGAGGGGGACTCACGCACTCGCACCCAGAGCTGAGGTTCTCCCTGAACTCCAACAGCTGGTGGAGCTAGTGAGTTGAGGCCCCGCCACAGGGGAAAAAAGGAAAGTTGCAGCTCAGGAGGGCCAAGGGTTGGAGCAGGGCGCTTGGGAACCAGGACGCCTGGCTCTGGGGGAGCGCTCCTCCTTGCCACCACGCCTACAATGTCTTGACAGCGGCTGACTACTCTGTAGACAAGTAGGTAAGACAGAGCAACCCCAGGGCTATTCCACCACGCCTGGGGCAACCCGGCCCCCACTGTAGCCAAGACCCACCCAGCACAATCTATCTTTGACGTAGTGAGCTTCTCTTTGTTCTGTGTTTCTTCAGTGCCTAGCAGGCCGGGGACCTGGGCCGAGAGGAGGCTGCTAGGGGCTACCACAGTGCAAAGACAGCGAAACCCACCTCTAGCAAATATCGAAGAGGCTAGCAAAACCCGGGAGCCTGAACAGCGGAAGATTGAATAACCTGTCCTAGGGATCTTTAAAACAATCTCACATTCATCAGCATCAATAGAGCCGGCTGGAAAAGGGCTTTTCCCAGGAAAAACTTGGAAAGCAAAAATGGGGAGGGGGCAGGGTTTACATAATAACCTGCCTTGCTTTGCGTTTTTCATTAAAAAAACCTCCCCCAGATTTCTAAAGAAACGGGTTTTCTTTGTGGAAAATTTTCATTTAGGAAAAGAAACAGGCCCTTTTACATCCCAAACCAGCTTTGAACAAAACTCTCAGCCGGCTCCGGGATTTTCCAATCCCGGGGTAAAGTGCTTTGCAGCTGCTAACTCAGGACACCACCGAGACGCCTCCCCACTTGGGGTCAGCGCCATTCTTCCCAAGGTGGGGAAACTGAGGCACAGAGAACAGACTGGCCAGCCCAAAGTGCCGAGTCAGTGCTGGGACTTGAACCCAGGAGTCCTGTGTCCCCAGCACGAGACCTTGTGTCTGGTTCTGATTTCAGGCTGGTGTAAATCAGGAGGAAAATGGACTAGAAAATGGGCCTCTCGGTGTGCTCTGCTGCCCAGAACTGCTGAAGCTCAGAGTTCTCTGCCCCCCTGCTCCGCCCCTGGAGAAGGGGGGGCTGTGTGCACTGTCCTTGGTGCCCCCGGGCTGGCTCAATGGTGTAAAGCCCAGAACAGCTGTCCAGCTTGTGATATGGCGCTTCCAGCAGGGGTCAGGGGACACCTGCAGTCCCGGTCGGGGGGGCTCAGGGTCCGCGCCCAACAGGGCAGACACAGGCTCGGGCTGTGATTGTGGTCTGGCCCTGGACTCCTGGCATGGCGCGGGGTCTGGAAGCAGGCCCAGGATCTGGGCTTGGAGTCTGAAACCCCCCCAGCCCACCTTTACACACACATGTGCACAAACACACAGGTGTACACGGACACACGCACAGTCTGGGGGGAGGGCCGGGGGTCGGGCCCAAGGACGGGGGGGGGGATAGTTTGGGGCTCCCAGGCTGAGAGGTAGGAAAGCTAAAGAGCCCCTTTAAAAAGTCCCTAATTGTGTGAAGCTGGGGGGTGACCCCTCCCCCGGGGCCATTAGCTGCCAGTGCCCGCTGCCCCCCCCCAACCCAGCAGATCCCTGGGGAACCTCCCCCTACCCGCTGACAGAAATCGCAAGATTATAAAAAGAAATAAATACAAGATAATGTACAACACCCTCCCCCCACCCCGTCCTTGCAGGGACAACTGGCGCCGCCTGGGAACCCAGGAACCAGCCGTCTGAAAAAGGGTCTGTATTGCTTTAATTAGCTCAGCCAACCCCCCCCTTAATGAACGGCTAATTGGGGCTGTCTAGACAGGAAGACAAAACATCAAACAAGGAAGAAATCCGTCCTCAGTAATATGGGGCACCTGTGGAGATGGGGAGCGGCGGGGGCAGGGCCACAGCCTGGCAGTGCACAGAGGGGCTTGGGGCCAGGGACACCGTGAGTGCAGGGGGTGGGCGGGGAGCCAGTTGGCTGAGCGCGAAGGGCAGCTCACGGGAAGAGCTGCTGGCCCTCCCCTGGAAGATTCATTGACACAGACCCACTCCAGAGACGCTGTGCTGTGGACCCATGGAAATTCCCTGCACAGCCATCAGAGACACCTATAGAAACCTGAGTGCCCCTACTAGAGGGTTCCTATACAGCTGCCATGCACCCAGCCCGGAGCTCCGCCAGCGAGCCCAGAGTGCCTGGCAGAGTGACCCTGCGGCTGCTGGTCTCTGGCAGAGGGAGGATGGCATGCTGGCTCGCCCCCCGGCCATGCCTTCACATACAGCGCCTGGGGGACCCTCTGAGCCAGGAACTGAAGTGACCCAGAAAGGAGAAACCGGGTTCAGGGCCCCGCCTGGCGCCAGAGCCGGGAGAACACGCCGGGGAAGGCCCGGGCGGGATACCTACCCCCTTCCATGTCGTCTGTCCAGTTGCGGCTGCTGCTCGTGGGCGAACTGGGCGAGGTGTAGTACTCGCCCCCCGGACTCGTGTCTATGTCATCCTCCATGGAGCCAGACTTGTGTCGTTTACTCCTGGGGAAGGGGAGGAAGGAGAATTGATCAAGGCACCAGGGCCTCTCGCTGCCATAGGCTCCTGCCCACAGCCAAGGGCGGCAGTCAGGGTTCGGGGGCTCCCTCCCTCCCTGTCTAGTGGTTAGAACCAAGGATAGGAGTCCGGATGCCTGGGTTCTGTGCCCAGCTCTGGGAGGGAAGTGTAGTCTAGTGGTTAGAGTAGGGGACTCTGCCACTGAATGGCTGTTTGACCTCAGGCGAGTCACCAGCCCAGTCTTATGGCCCCTATTCCCTGAGTGAGTGGCCCACCCGACACGGGTCAGGGCTGCAGGAATGTGACGTTATCACTGTGCAGGGCAGCGGGAGCACTCATTACTCAGGGGCAGAATGTCCCTTGGGGTGCGCGTGGCAGAAGAGGAGGCTACCGACTTTGAGATTCTTGGGCCAAGCCCATACGGATGTGGCACCTTGCGGCTGCTGCCTCCTGGAGCCTCGGCGCAGAAGGGGCGCCAGTGAGGAGCTGGTGGCAGGGAGCCCTGGGGTCAGTGACAAGAAGAAATGAAGCTGCTGGGGCCAATTCTACTCTCCGTTACACCCACGCGACCCCAGTGGGTTCCAAGAGGAAGGGGTGGTCTGGGAGCCAAACTTGTGTTCATGCACACAGCTGCCGCGTCAGGAGAGCCGCTCCCCTTGGCCTTGCTAATCCACCTCCCGGAGAGGGGTCACTGTGTCTATGGAAGAAGCCCTCCCGTGCGCAGGGCGCTGTCTGCAGGAAGCTAGGGGTGTAGTAATACCAATACCAGAAACAGGCCCCAGCGTAGCCAACCATCGCCAGCAACGCCCGGAGCGCCAGTTAACTCTAAGCATGTGTCCGAGGGCTTGGCTGACCCACGCCGGCCCCGATCAAAGACGAGAGAAAGGAAGGGGCTCCCTGAGGCCTCGTCCACCCTGCCAAACCAGTGAGGCAAGGCCGGCAAGATCCCCCTCCCCTCACCTAGCTCATCTGGCGGGAAATCCACAGGGCCTGGTCTCTGCCAGCTTGTTCCCTGGCAGAGGAAATGGACTCTGTGGGCCAAATTCTGCTCTCCAGTAACCTGGCAGCGCTCATGAAAGCCAAATTCTGCCCAGAGACCTAAGCGGGCTGCTTCTCCCTCAGCTCCCAGGCTCCTGTTCTCTTGTATTAGTTGACAGGCTGAAAGCACAGGGCGCACACCCGCAGCCACTGAATAATATCATCCTCGCCGGCTAGCTATGCATGGGAGTCACATGGGCAGCTGCCTCTGGGGTGGAACGCAGCAGCTGTTTAACAGCCACACAACCGTCTAGGACCGGAAGTGGCAAAGACCATATTCAGAGGGACGGGGATTACAGGGAGGCACAAGGTCCCGTCCAAAGGAGGTAGGGAGCCCGCACACTGCTGCTAATACTCCTCCTCATTCCTAAGTCTCCACGGGCCTCAGTCCATATGCAACAGCCCCAGGCATGGGGCCAGGCCTGCGTCAGAGGGGAAAGCCCCCATCACTGGGGGCAGGGCCCACGCCATTTTCTGCGGGGCTCCTCAAGCCGTCTCCCATCCAACT